AGCAGAATAAAGACCTTTTTGCTATCGTAAGCGTTAATATTAGGTTTGCAAAATATTAACGCCGCGGATAAAAGCCTGCGATTTTTAAAGAGATGAACTCGTTTGCTTATCGTTCTTGCAAGCAGGATACAAAAGAGCGGTACGCAAGTACTGGGGACAATAATTTTGTCAAATGGAAGGGGACATTTCGGTTCGACCGACCGAAATAACCTGACCGGTCAAAGTGGACCAGCTTCAAAGGCGTTCCCAAATATTCTGGTAGGACCGAACCGAAATGGTCCATTCCATTTGATTTCTAACCGAAACTTGCGGAATTTTGGGCTGAATGGAAAGCACCCGAAGATTTTCTTAAAATAACATGACCATCGTGAGGTCTGTGATAAAGAAATGATGGAAATGTACACCACTATTAGCCGCTACGTAAGACGGTAAGACAGTACATAAGATTTACCTGCTCTTGCTAACAGCAGTTTCCATTCAGTGTCAAGTGCTGTATCTGCTTTTAATCCATACAGCTCGCAGTGCCTCGAAATGTCCCTTGTACAATTTCTTAAAGCGAGAACTTCAACTTGGCCTGGATAATCGCTGCTTAAACCACAGGGTGTGGCGTCGTGTAATAAACCAGAAAAACTACATGAGTGAAACGTTGCCGAAGCCATGACAAAAAACAAAGCTCTCGCAACAAACGAGACAAACTCCACTAACGCTGTTTCGGTATTCGTAATACTAGACGGGAATAATTCAATTAAAAATAATATCGTAGAGGCACGTGCAATAGTAAGTGGCGAAACAGTTCGTGACAATATATAAATTTTATTCCAGGAGCATTTGACCTGGAAATGTTTTATTAATATTGTTCCTAGAGTCGAATATTTCTACACTGATGATCTATAAACAGACGTACGGTTGTACATTTTTTCATTGGGACAGCTGTAATTGCTTCTTTGTCTGTTTACATTGTGTACGAAGTATAGCACGTACCGTCATATGCGACAAGCTAGCGTGACCAATCTATGCACGTTTGCTAAATTACACGTCATATGATCTTGTTATCCCGTCTAGTATCTGATTTGTTCGCTCAATAAGAATAATACTCACCTTGTTAACTGTGTGGTTTGAGCAGTGGTTAATTTTCATCATTGTATGTTATTTTCGGACCAAAACATAATCGGGTTTCATTATTATTAAAGCGTCTGATAATGCGTAATAAGCGCTGCGTGGGAAGTGTTTAGATAGCTCAAGCGCTGAAGTTGCTGGACACATTTTGGTCAAAATCAGGTATGGATGAGTTGCCACTTCACAGGACAAACAGATTGAGAGATGGATTTAACTTCTATCGCAACAAGCAATGGTAAGTTGTTCGTTCAACAAAACTTTGCGTTAAAAATATGAATTCATTCAGCGGGCCGTCTAATTTGCATAAATTTTATTTACTCAGATACTCAAATTGCTTACTTTGGTGTGAGGACTATATTGGATTTCCAGAGCTAAAACTTTCCAGCAATTTAGTTGAATAGCCAAGGTTTTATTCTATATGGGTTTTACTAGGAAGCGGCATATACCAGTGGCCTTTTACAACAGTTAAAGTTCGCCTTCATTTATTAACATTTCCAAGGATACAAATTTGACCTTTTTAAACTTGTCGATTGTAAATGTTAAAAACTTCTTTCTTCAAATTTCTTTCAGGAAATTAAAGAGTAAGTACGAAATAATACTCGGCTGAAGTTTCGATGTTAGGGATTGTTTCTTATGCGTTCACCGTTTTCTCGAAGTTGCGGTCGGATTTTGTTCTTTTGAGTACGAAAAACCAGCAAAAAATCGATTTTTCAAACTTTTTGTAATTTCTCCCGTACAATGAATCGCTTGAACCCAAAATTATTTTTTCTTCAATATGGTTACTAAAAGGGATGTTTTGGCGAGAGGAAAAAAAATTCGTTTTTTTCACGAGTGTCATGCGATTTTCGATTTTCTCGGAAAATGGCTCTTAAGCTGACACGTTCATTCGTGCATTGATGGAAGAGCCGTTATTAAGTTTTAACGGCTTTCAGCAACTTCCAAACATGAGCGGGAGAGCGCGCTAAGAATTCAGTTCGTAATCGCATTGTCCTCATTTAAAGCAAGTATCGTGCGAATGATTGATCAGCTCTGGATAAGATAGAATGAAATGTGGCAGTAGCAAAGACAGAAATTGTGTGTGACGTTCGAGAACAAGTAAAACTAGCCGCTTCTGCTCATTTAGGTCTGGAAAGAGGCTTAAACTGTATTGAAACCGTTCATTATATTAATTCTGAAGACCACAAAGGCGTTTCTGGGAAAGACCGCTGGCATTTAATCGAGATTTAGTGCAGCTGTCAGGCGCAAATAAGATACATGGTTGACTACCAAATGATCATTTGATCGTAACAAGCGATCGGGATTGCTTGGAACTCTATTGTTTGTTGTTTGCTTCTAAATTTGATGGGCAGTTCAGTTCCACTCGCTATTGCAGGCAATTTTGAGTAAATTTGCATTTGTAAGGACAAACCGCAACCAATTAGAGTCCATCGAGAACTCACATGGGAGCTATAGTGCGACATTAGTAAATTTTGTCATTAAGTTTATGTCCTTCAAACAAAAGCCATTCTGCGCCATGAGAAGTAACATTTTATTCTTTCTTATGTAAATTCGTTTCTGCTTTGTCAGAGAAACAATACCGTTTGCAGCACCCAGCATACGTCTTAAAACCACATTTAAAATTCTACACGAAGTCATTTCCGCTAACTCTCTGTCCCTGTCCTCATTCAACCCCTTTTTTTCTTTGCCGGAGAACTATATCTGTATTATTTTCGTTAATTATTCAGAACATTCTCCCGTAAAATTGTTTGGTGGCACATTTTTCTACAACAGCCCCTCCAAGTTGACATACGCACTACTAACAAAATAGAAAGCAAGAATTTAAAGCAAATACAGTCACACTTCTTGCAGGAAGCCATGATATTGTCAAATAATGCCGTGAGTCTTTGAGAGAACTGAAAATTGGTTTTTGTTTAAAACATTAAGAAGTAACGAGTTATTTGACATATTTATGGGTCTTATCTCTTTAAACATACATTCCAGTCCTAACCTGTTCTTTTAGCCTGTCATGCTGCATATTCGTGACCGTAGACACTAAAAATCTGGTTTTTCCCCAATCGGTAATAGATCCATGATTGCTGTCACGTATATAGAACAAGGGTATTCACTATCTAGGAAGAAATGAACGCTTATTCTTTAACACAGTCCAGAAGCAGGTGTAGTTGGAGTAGTTTGGTATAGTTTCTTAGAGTAGTTGGAATTCGATGTAATAGGTGTAGTTTGGTGTATTTGGCATGGTGTCGGAGGTGTTGTAGGTGAAGTAAATGCAATGGATATAGTAAGTATAGTTCGCTGTATTTGGTATAGTAGGCGTACTCATGGATCTATTAACACTCTCTCTACTTGAAGGGTCAGTCTCCCCGCATTCCATCATGATTCTGTAGCTGTTTAAAAAAAAAAAAAAAAAAGCGAAAACCAGTGACACCCAGTGAGTGCTTTACTAATAAAGAGAAAAGTGGATCTGAATTATGTAAACTCATTAAAATAAAGTTTGATGGCATCGAATACCTTTGCCTTGCCAGAAAGTCTAAAGTCAAAAATCGCAGAAATTTAACTAACCAGAAATGAAGCCCTTTCGTTTCCCATCATTGAATCAAAATCACACGAGTAATGGCATCCTACCCTGTTACACTCTGTTTTAACCTAATCAAGTTTGTCAGTCATTCATGATATTCCTAGTTAGTTAAACTTAAAGGTGAGAGTGATTGAATATTAGCGATTTCAAAGAACAGCGTACTTGCTGCATACCATTACGACAAAGCTTCCCGATACGGTATTAAAAACGGTTTGACAAATTTTCAGTCAGTGATATGATGGTGAAGGATACACGTCGATTAAACATTCCTAACATTGACTAGATTTTCGACTTTGTAGAAATGGAATAATTTCCATTTTCGTGTAATCTGCTGATCAATATAAATTCCTCTGACAACCAGAAGACTAGCAGCTAGCAGAGACAGGCATAAAAGTGATTCTGTCTGAGTTTGTCGCCTCCTTATGTGTTGATGTTTTAGTAAAACAGTTAACATTTTTAAAATCATTAAGGAAGCTCTTTGTTTGTATACGGAACATGTCTTGGATATTATAACTTGATTTTATAAAGCCTATAAACTTTTCTCTATAAAACTTCTGCTAAGTCCATGTAAAAGAAAGTTGAAAAGGGTTCAATGTAGACTGATATAATGTTCCGTAATAATCTTGTGGCCATGTAAAGAAACTCAAAACATTAAATGAACAAGGCACTAGATCAAAACACTTAAAATTTTAATTGAACAAGTACACGATGAGTTTCTAATTATTCATAAACTTTTTGGTAGACATTTTCTATTTTTTTTGATAGCCAATAATCTTTAAGTATTTGGCTATTATCGAATGTTCGCGCGACACGTCTATGGCCGGGCACTCCTTCCAGCATATTTCTAAACGTAGAATCCAGCATTTTGGGGGAATTTTGAAGCTTTGTGACTCCTTTGGATAGTGCCTTTTATCTATAGGACTATCGAGTTCTTCATGATCATGGACGTGGGCGCATGTCACCGAAGGCTAACCGCCCGTACCATTACTTTTGTGTAATGGTCAGCCATGACTCAGACTTTTTTTGCTCGATTCAGCGACGAGGAACAAAACTTAAGCTTAGTTAAGCAGGCGTTTTAGGTAAAGGGGATAAGACTGCAAAAATTAATTTGCAAGCCAAAAATTGTAACAATATTGTGTTTTAGTCATACGAATGGTCCTGGTCGTTCGAAGTCTTTGATGTGAAATTAAAAAAAGATGAAGCAGATGCATGAAAATGCTAAACAAACTTGTCTGCTTGCTTGTAATATAAACAAAATACATGTACAACTAATGACGGTAGCCTTCATGTATAATTTGGAATATGATTCTTCCTAATGACCAGACCATTCATCGCAGAGTTCAGTTATTTCTCGCTCACAACTCTCAGCTGTGGGACGTTTATCTGGGTCTCCATCCCAGCATCTCTTCATAAGTTCTTTCCAGCGGCGTGGTGGCTTCTTCAATTCCATAATATCTTTTGGACGACGTCCATCATCAACCAAGCTGAAGAAATGTTGGTTATTTGGCGCATCAACTTCGGCAAATGCTCGTCGTCCGAACCACATCTCCCAAAGTATTATTCCAAAACTGTAGATGTCTGCTTTGTAGTCATAAAGTTTGGAATGGAACACTTCAGGAGCCATGTACAAAAAAGATCCCATAACAGTACCGGTGATTTTACTTGCTTCCTTAGAAACGCCGACATCACCTATTCTCACGGAATCCTCCTCCGACAGCTTAAATGAAAATAATGAGAAGTATATTTACTATTGGATTGGTAATCTTTAGATGTTTTCCCGCACTTTTAATAGAGAGAAGTTTCTGTTCTTGATTTTACGAAGATGAAAACTTAATATACTGAAAAAATGGCTTCTACCTCGCTTATAAATTGTTTGACAATCACATTTCTTAACACTTCAGTCACTACCATTCTCAACTGTTTGTCATCTTCTCTTTTCTGTTACCATATTACTATCATGCGAGTCTGTTTTAGTTTCCTTTTTAATGATAATAATAAAAATAACGGGGAATGGTCGTTTTCCGCTGACTTACGATGTGGATCACGGTATCTTGAATACATACTGGTAGTGTTATGCGGGTAATGAACTTGACGGGTTGAGTGTCACCCAAGAGGCGAGATTTTCCGCTGTGATTCAATTAGTTTAGAGATGTGTGCAGAAATTCCAGAAGTTTGGATGCCCACGATTGAAAAATAAGAAAAAAAAAAGCAGAAAAACAGTTGCAGAATCTGAAGGCAGTGTGATACTTGACTAATCAACTCCATTGACTTACAACGACTGGCAAGATGCGGTAAAAATATCAAGAATGCTGTAAGTACCTACCAAGATGTTTTCTAGTTTGAGGTCTCTGTGGATAATGCCTACTTCGTGCATAAAGTGAAGACCAGCGGTGATTTCTTTCGCCCAACGACAAACTCTAAGGTATGCTGTTTTTCCGGATATACCCGGGACGGATTCTCGGTGCTTGAAGATGTGATCTTTGAGGCTTTCTGTGCACCTTTCCATCACAAAGATCACCCTTACCTCGTCCTCTTTTTTCAAGAGTGCAGTCCCAAAAAACTTGACAATATAAGGGTGATCTAATTTTCTGTCAAAGGAAATTTCCACCTATGAACATGGTGCAGGGCGAAAGATGCTTTGTTGGCATCATGTTAAACAAGGGTTTTTTATCAAAAGTTGGCATAACAGTTCGGTATATGGCTTAACGTTACAGCACCGATCGAAATTCCTTTAATTCAAACTTTCTATTTCTACAAATAATTGGAAAGTCTCCAAAATCATGACGTGATTGCCGCGTAAGATTCCAATCAATTGTCGCAATTATAGGTTTAAAAAAGAGCCAAACGGTTGATGCTCAATTTTTCCTCAAGCCCTACTCCAAATACGCGGCATTGTAAATTGGAGAAAAATTAGAACATCGAGACTGAAATGGGGGAAATCTATCTCACCTCAAAAGGGTCATCTCTTCAACTATGAGACTTGCATTCTCGACGTCTAAAGGTTTGCGGCAAACCTTCACAGCTACTTTTTGCTCGCATCCATGTCTTCTCATCTTTCCTTTGTACACATAGGCAAACGTACCACGCCCAAGAATGGAAGATGGATCATCCTTCCACTGCAACTCTTCATTGCAGTGGGCACAAGCCTCTCTCAGCCCAAATTCTGCTAGGTGTCCTCTAATAGCAAAAGCACTGTTCTTAATTGACTCGTACAATTCTATAATCTCTTTGTGTGATTGCTTGTTGTTACGGAGTTCTTCACATAACTTTCTGTTGGCCTGAATCATCTGTGGAACCTGACTTCCAATTTGTTCCAAACGTTTCAGGTGCTTTTTGAGCATTTCATTTACCATAGACTTGGCTGCATCTCCATTTATAACACACTGAAGAAAGCTCTCTTTCATCCTTAAAGGAGGAGTACTAAACCTCATCATTTTACCCGTAATGGGATCGAGTTCAACCAAATATCCTGACATACCCCCGTGTATTCCAAGCCTCTCAACAAAGAGATCAAGAATGAAGACCACGGAAGCACTAAACTTACAGTGTGGGTAAATTGGAGTGGCCATTGAGACTTCGCCTTCCGAGATGTCACGTTGAAGATTCAGGATTTGCATTTTTGCTAAATTGTGTTGCTCCAAAAATCGTTGAAGAGGCAAGCTAAAAGCATTTGCAAATACATGATTTTTATCTTCCCACTGTTGCAAAATTACTTGCAGTTCTTCGTCTAGCTCACTTATGGATGGAGCAGATCCGGAAAATTGATAGATGAATTGTCTTCGCAAATCCTCTGAATTGAGAAATTCGCAGAGCTTTGTTTCGACCTCGTTGGCGCGGGCTGTCATACCTATGCGAATCCTATCAATAAGTTGGGTTTGTTGTCTCTCAAGCACTTCCAGACGATGAAGTATGGTGGTCATGTTGTTCGTGACTTTTTTACGATCTCTACCGGCGTTCATCGTAATCATCTTTGTTTGACAAATTAGTTGGTAAAATACAAAATCAAGCCAGCTGTAAGGAAATAAGGAAATGAAAAGAGCATAGTAATTCTAATTGTATTTTTATTACTAGTTTTAGTAGGAACTAGTACATACAAAACAGTAATCAGCAAATCACTACATAGACAATGAAATGATCATTTCCCATTGTATGTGACCTGGCTCGTTTTAATCCTTTAAGTTGCTTAACATATACGATTTAAGACTCCCACCGCGAAAGGAGTTAGCCCATTAATGTTGGAGTTTGGATGACAATGATATAAAAAATTAATTCGAAGTTCTTCTTATGTTACTAATCTAAAGTTTCTGTCTCTTTTTTTATCATTTGACTTTGTTTAACAGTTATAACCACAATAAAACTATAACACCCAATTCCATAATTAAAAGAAGGCATGCACTCACCTCCAGTGAATTCCCAACCTTTGCTCGATGCATTTCAGAACAAAAATGCGGATTCCATTCATCAGGGTAATGAGGTCGGCTTTAATCTCCCCGCGGCTCTGAGCATATAGAGCGTTTTTTACTGACATGTAGGTGATCTGGGATTCAGGAATAAGATCAGGCCACCACTCTGTTAACTTGATCTCTATGTGTGCCTTAACAACGTCGGCTTCGTCCTCTGGAATTTGGTCCCATTTGTTGCAAACAAACAAAGCACATTTGGAGGGAAACTCCTCTCGTCTTTCGCGCGATATCTTGCCCAGTTCGCTCAGCAAATATACAAGCTTTGTATTAATCAAAGGGTTGCCAATTAGCACAAAATGGCGACAAAGTACTTAAAAAATAGTCAAGTTTAAAAGTTTATTCATCGCTTTGATTCCTCCTTTGCAATACTATTTTTTCTTTTCTAAAATTTTAATTTCACTGCTATCCACATTGCACTAGCTACTTACCCTGTCTTTCTGAACCCCTCCAGCGTTTGCGCTGTTGATGACATAAATAAATCCAAAGGCTTGAGGAAGATACTCTGTCACTACCTCGTCCATGACTTCCGATTCTCCAACCCCAGGACTATCAATGATTGTGACACCTTTCTAAACACAGAAGTTAACGCTAAATAACTATCTACAATAGAAAATCATCTAGATTGTTCGAATTGCTTCTTTTGGCATAATCTAGGTCTAGAAAACTATCAACTGCCATTGAACATTAAACCGATTTTTTATTCACTCAAACTGGTTAATATTTACAGTAGGACTGGATATGGATCCATGTCATTTTCATTTTTGTTGAGTTTATTAGTTTTAATCCTGCAGTGAATGTCAGCCCGTTCATGTATGCCAATTCATCTCATGTAACGAGGTTGTCAATCGAAAACCCCTAGGTTTGGTCTTGATGTTCATGATATCTGATTGGAGAAACCAATATCTTGATTACTGACGGGGGTTCAACTTTCCATATCAACCTATGGAATACTTTATACGAGAAAGAACTGCGAGACAAAATTAGTGGCTAGCTCAGTTGACGTCCCTAGGCAAAGAAGGGTATTACTGAATTACTGAATACTTACCTTCAACAATTGATGAGGCCAGAAGATTTCAACCTTTTTGTAAATTGTACCTTTCCCACGGTCTGCACCCTTCACTTGGACATAAGGTGAGATCTGCTGGAGATAGCTTTTCCCTGAAGATTCTGTTGGATTCTCAAGAAACATGGTCGATGTTAGGCCTGTTTTCGAATCTGTGTCTTTGAGGTGCGCCACAATTCTTCTTTCCTCACCGTACTTCAGTTCACATAACGTGGAAGTTGTGCTGAGTGAGGAAGATGGAAGAAGCCTCTCTTCCAGAATGAGATTTATCAGGCTGCTTTTCCCGGCACTTGCCTCGCCTGAAAGAGCAAGATAAAAATCATTCTCTATCATCCAGCTGTAGTTTCTAAAACCGCCTGTGTGACCGTAAGCATGAAGTGCGTTGTTGTTACAACAAATGCTTTTTAAATCCTTCAAGGTCAGTTTGCCGGCATCTCCACTCACTCGTACCGATAGTTAATATTAAAGAACGTTGTATAGAAATAGTAGTTAGTAGATCAGAGTTAGAGAATCAGAGTTAATAGGAGTTAGGAAGAAAGTGGTCAAAGAAAACTGAGATAGGAATATTTGCTTTTAGTGGAGCTTTTCTACTTGCAACAACTACATTTCTCTCTTTTCCCTTCCCTTTGACCACTCTTGGACTGATTCCGGCTGACAGCGGCCATGTCCTGTTAAGGTCTTCACATTAAAGAGGACAGAAACAGGAAAGCCCTAGTATCCTTGGTGCCTTCCGCCAAGTGTGGTATGCTAGTTTCCTACTAACCAAGATGAAGCAATACTATAAACCTCTCTGACATGGGCCAATCCTCTGTTAAAGGGGGAAAGTTTCTAAAGAAACTGTGGTGCTGCGCCGGGAGAGAGTATAACAGGGTAATTTTGTATTATTTGCTTGTTTTGAAACGCTGCTTGTTTTTAATCATTTCCTGCAAACTTCCTTTTGATTTATATTTAGCTATTATGTAGTCAATTGCGTGATCTAAAATGAACGCGTCCGTAGAAATCGAGATTTCCTGGAATTGTACATAACTTTGGACTCTTTGCTGCCCAGGAAATAGTTCTTATTTTGGCGGCTAAATTATTTGCAACGCCTTAGCCTTCTTCACGTATCATAGCCTTTAAAGGTGCGACGCGCACCTTTAGTTAGTTAGTAAAAAAGAAGTTAGTTGAAGCCACATCGCTACCTTTGCTCTGATCAGAAGGATCCTAGCTACCGCCGTCTTAAGTGTATTAGCTATTTTTTGTGGGCGCGAGTCGTCAACCAAAGTACGTAAGTCTTACCTTTGTTGTTGATAAACTCACGGAATCATTAGCCTTTTCTCGGTCATAGAACGTCTTGTTTAGTCAACGAAGTGTTATTATTTCAGTATTATAGCGAAACTATTATTAACAAAGTGTCTTTGTTTCTTTTCAAAATATTCTTTTATGCTCATTTAGCTACTCTTTTTTCAGTACTATACTGTTGTTTGTACCTTCTTTTGATAATAGTTTATATGACACGAGAATTATCACTTCTATTCATTTCACGCTAGGAGTTCGCTAGTTTATTGTTGTTCAAAGTCTCTTGATTGTCTTGCATTTCTTTTTAGCCTTACCTAAGTTAGATTATATTTTTAAGTATCGTATTTCAGTTCGAACCTACAACTTGATCTGCATCTACAGCTATTACTTTTTTTTCTACAGCGACTGCTCTTAGGCCAATGATCTTTGATCTTTGCCATCTTCATCACCCTTCATGTCAAACGCAACCGATTCATGTCACCCCTTCATGTCAAACACAACCTCTAGAATCTTCACAATTACAATAGCAACTGAGTTGATAGCGTAAATTGGCCTCCGTAAAGAGTTTAAAATTTGACGTTTTGAGTGCTGGCCCTTCGTCAGGGCGATAGACGAAGAGCTAATGCTCGAAACATCAGCTTTTAAACTCTTTAAGGAGGCCAATTTACGTCATCGACTCAGTTAATAATACTAAATTAGCCAATCCTCTCTCAGTCGCGGAATTTCACAACCCGGGCCGGGTTGTTCAAAGCTGGGTTAAGATAACCTAGGGTTAGTGAGTGAAATTTGATTTTAGATCTGAAAGCTTTAAGAGCAAATTCAGTTTATTTCTTTTTGACTACAATTTGATAATTGAATGCGCTAAAAACAATGGGTAAAATTATTCCAAAACGACTTTTGAAAAGAGAAATATGGAAACCTGGATTAAATTTAACCCTGGGTTTGCGCTAATCGGCCTTTGAGCAATTAGGCCCTAGAGGCCAGGCAAATAAATTTAAGGCGGTTGTTTTGGGTGAATTCTCCAATATCACTCACCTGCAACAAGAATATAGTATTCCTTCTGACTGAGTTGGCTCATATGTTGCGTCATCTCCTCTAAAATTGTGGTTATATTCACTTGCAGCAAAGGCAGTGAGCGTTTCTCATTCAGTTGCCTCAAAAAATCTTCAGCTTTGGAAAATTCATCCAGCAGTAGGTTTCTTTTGCGTTCATCTTCAATTCTTGCCTCAGATAGAATACAAAGAGCCTAGAAAAGCACATAAGAATTGATTCTGAACTTCATTTGACAATGCCTGCAGTATTTCCCTCCCCACTCCTACCTGGCGGACTGTTCCTGTTCATGTGAAACAAAGTTCTGATCAAACTGTCAAACTGAAAAGATTTATTCTTGGAAATATGTTAATAAGGCCAATGCTCTGGCCAAGTTTGAGGATTTTGCTGATTTTTAAACTGTATGCGTCCGGGCGATATTTACGAAGCACAACTCTTAAACCTATTTACACAAGGAATTTCAGCTCTAAAAAAAACCGTGACTGCACAAGTTAAACATACCCATTTTTACGTGTTTTATAGAGCCAATGAGCTCCTGACACGTCACTCGCTTTTCACGCCACTCTGTCGGGTTGATAAATGAATGGCAAGGCGTTCATCGTTCTCAATGCGAGATCGTTTGTCGAAATTTTGGTTGGATTATGGTTGCTAAAAACACTTAAAAAACTCGTATCGCTCACTTACAGTGACGATCCAAATTTCCTAGAAGCGAGAGAAAACCAAACTACGTTAAGAAAAACCAAAGTATTTGGACCTTAAGCCTTATCGCCGACGCACCTTACGTCGCACTTTACGTCGCGGATTTTAAATCCTAGTTTGTCTCATTCATTTAAAACAATGTCGGCTTTTCTAGGTAGTTAGTAATAAGTAATCGTAATCTAGTTGATGTCACTCGTTCGCTGCGCTAACTCGTGAGTTATCTTGTTGAACACTCGAAGGGAAAATCCATATCTACGAGTGCCCATGTCTCAGATTGTAGTATTCTTTATTTATCAGCTGTAGCGAATAAGCCTGTTGACCCTTAGTCACAAATTAGTTAGACATGAATCATACATGTAACACATGGAGCTCTCTGCAATTTCTAGTCGATTCTATCGAAAACATTTCACAACAAGGGCGATTTCAGATGCCACGGAAAACTACACTTTCCTACAGATGGCCATCCTGCAGCTGGTTTTAGTTTGCTATGATCTGTGATGTGCTACGTGAAAACTTGTCACGTATTTCCTCGGAGGGAAATATTATTCACTTAATGTCTGCAACATGCAACGTCCGACGAAATTCCTAGCTTTTCGACGAATTCTTGACCGAAACGAAACTTCGACGACATTTCTGCGAATTTTCGAGGCATGTCTTGTTTTGAACGACTCGAACTTTCGGCGACATATTCCTTGATGGCGTTAATGCGACTCGAAATTTCGAGCGAAAATTCGTTCTATGCGGCGAATATTCGGGGCGATAATTCGTTGCAATTGTTCATTATTTCAAAAAGATTTGGCTGAATTTGTGGTTCGGTACTGCTCTATGTAAAACTCCCATGGAATTTCCCGCTACGATTTGAGTCCTCCGCGTGACCTATGTTGTTTGCAACCATGGCAACACTCAGTGTATCAATTGTGTCGATGCGTTTGGGATCATTTACGTACTCTACTTTTGGTAGTCATCGTGGCCAAAGTTTCCAATTATTCTACAAAAAAACAAAAAAGCCCCTCCACAAGCAAGGCCTCCACCCAGCTGAAATACCGAAAGCGATGAAACGCGACGGGTTACTGGGTTTTACTACGCGCATCAATTGAAAGTTGCGTCTCACCAGTTTCGTGGTAAATTTACCTCGATCGGGAAGACCTCAAAAGGAATTGCGGTGATTTCGCCAACGAGTGATTTCGCCAACGTCACGTTCGCCAACGTCTTTGGTCGCTTCGCCAACGCGATGAGTCGCTTTGCCAACGTCCTACTGGTCACTTCGCCAACGCCAAATATCTAGTAATAACTTAGTAATAACTTAGTAAAAAGGGTGCTTACTGATGCTTCGGAAGCGAACAGTGTATTTAGAAACTGTGCAAAATAAGCATTGGCAAAAGATGCCAGAATTTACGCAAAAATAGGGCAACGTGACCTAAATAATAGTTGTTTCAGCTGTCACTTACTAATATTCAATATTTTGTTGCGAAATGTAAAGTATTTCACACTTTTATTAGCGTCTGATTGTGTAGGATCAAATCGAACAAAGAACGCTTAAATGCTAAAATACTGCACGCGCTCTGAAGCTCGCGTTATATATATATATATATATATATATAAATTGTGAAGAATAAATATTTCCAAACAAACATGGGTATAATGATATCTGGAAAGCAATCAGCGATATGGATGCTGTCTATTTGCGTAGCGATTGAGAATGAATAAACAAGGAACACATTTCTCGATTGACAACGTTTGAAAACACTCAAAACACGTTCTCTGCTCTGTCTGGTTTAAAAGCGGAGTACTGAAGTTAATGTTTAAAACTATTCCAATCATTTGAGAGTTTATTTCCACCAAACACGTCTCTTGGTCGCAATTGCTGTGTTTAGTTTCAAGTATTAAGAGTCTCTGTCGTGGTGAAAAAGGTTGGAAATACGTTTGATAACATTTCGTGTTGCTTACATGAAAGTAAACAAACTTGATCACTCGCAGACAGCTACTGTCAGTTCGAAGCGAAATTTCGAACACTAATTATCGAAGAGACACTTTCCGCCATGAATTTCCGCTTCGTGGCGGAAATTCATCGAAAAAGCCTCCTTTGTTCAGACGAAATGTCGCTTAACAGGCCTTGAACTTTCGATCGAATTTTCGTTCGAACTTTCGACGAAAGATCGTTAGAACAAATAACGAAATTCGCCGAATTCCGCTTGCATTACTTTTGCACAATACTGTAACGTTCACTATCTTGCTATAATTTGCATTTGATAATGGTGACATGTCGTCGCCGAAACGTCATGTTTTTATATCGCTACTCTTTATTCTAAAATTTCATAGCTAAAAGAGATATTTCACCGAACGAAAAAAACGATTAAACAGGAAGATTTCGATTATTCTGTTTAAACCATGAAATGCAACGCAGTTTCAAGGAACAGCTTTTAATTGTCTAAGAAACGCTTACCTGTTCGGCCTTCCATCTGGCTTTGTTAAGAGATGTCTTCGAAGCAGCTTCTACGCATGTTATCGTTTCATCCAACGTTTTTAACCCTTTACATGAAATATCAGGCGACTCCATACCTCGAATCTCATCTTTAATGTTGTTGTCGACTTTGTCGACAATATTCATCGCCAATGCATCCTCATTTACTCGCGTCAGGGTGTTGCAGATGAAATACCGGTAAAAGCAGAACAAAGGAATCAGGATAAGGCTGAGATAAAGCAAAATGTGCCATAACCATTCCATCTTAATTCTTAAGACAAATTGTTGTTGCGTGCATTCGAGCGAGAAGTGCAATGTCTACTGAGCAACATAATCAGACACAGGCTAGTTCTTAGCCCCTTCCGCTGAGCTCATTTGTTTCGTTTCTGTAACAAGCCAGAACGGGCAATGTAGAGGACAACACATACAAAACCAAGATGTCGGACCAACAAGATATATTTAATATAAGAAAACAGATGTCGTCAGCGGACCACGAGGTCGTGACAGTGTCACGCAATATTGTTACAGTTTACATGGTGAAATGCAGATTTATTGTGTACCATTTTAAATTTCATAATTCGCTGGCTACTTGACTGCCTCTCCGAACAACTAATTAGCTTTTAAATTTGTCATATTTGAATCAATTACAGTCTTTCCTTTGTTTGCCTCTCGTTTTCAATTACGATGCCGTGCTATTTTAAATGTTGTTTTCATACATAATTCGTCGTTATTTCGATGATTATTCTTTTAGAGATCATAATACTGCCATTACATAAAACTTGAAACGTTGAGTTAGACTCATAAATACTAATTACAAACGCATTCGCTGGTTAAGAATTTACCTGCAATTTTTTTCAATATGCAGGTAGTTAGGGGTACATTTACGCAGCTTTTCAGTTTTTCTACAGATACTTCACCCATAGACCGCCAGCCGGTAGATATAGGCATTTCTTAATAAAATGAGATATGAACGTACAGTCATTCACCATTTCTATTAATATCTTCATTTCCCGAGTCAATGACTTAAAATGATAATCACTGGTCCCCAAGGGAATCCTTCCTCACCAACCGAACAAATTTAGTCAACGATGTTCATGTCTGGAGCATAAACTTACAAATTCGACTCTTGAGAGGCGGTAACCCATATCGTAATCGCAGCTCCAGTTCAAGTACTGGTATGTACGAAAGCGATGTTTCTTAGTGGTTATCCCGTTTTCACGGCGACGTTAAATGTTGGGAAAAGCGATGGGAAACTCGATTACTTCAAAGTGTTGTATTTTTCCGACTGAAGCGTAGGTAGATTTTTTACTTATTACTACCCACGTGACTGCACCTTAAACCAAAGGTACAAACGACATCATTTTTCCGTTATTTTTTGCGTTCCACAAAGGAGATCACAGTCCTAATGCAGAGTTGAGCGTAATTTCATGGGACTTACGGCGGATACCAAGAGATTTTGAATTGTATAATCTCTGACGGATACAAGCAGCGTCGAAAACGAACGAAAGGCCGAGTGCCCTCTGGCGAAAGGGAGAGAGTCTTGGATTTCGATACGAACTCGATAAGTTACAAAGTGCAGCGATAAGTGTTAAATTTTGTCAATATGTTGACTTATAAATAATGAAATTATGGATCTCCTACGGGAGTATATTTGACTCTTGTCGTAAAAAACACCCAGTGAGTGCTTTATTGATGAAGAAAAGTGGATTTGAATTACATAATCTCAATATACACAATTTTGATAGTATTGGTTATCCTGACCTTGCCAGAAAGTCCACAGTTAAAAGGTTTAGCAAGCAACAATTTGAAAAGTCTATTTTTAAAAGATTGACAGTTCCAATCCCCACAATATTAAGCTAAGCATTATTTCTCTCAGGAGGGAGCTGACCATCAACCATGGATCAAACTGCGATGCATTTCTTTATCTTCCGACAGAAGCTGTGGGAAGATGTTATCATGGGAAATGTGGTATGAAGAAGAAGCCTCGCGGATTTTAAGTCAAAAAACGTGGAAATTTAGCTAACCAGAAATTAAACCCTTTTATTTCTCATCATTGAATGAAAATCATCACACGAGTAATGGCATCCTACACTGTTACACTCTGTTTTAACCTAATCAACTTTGTTAGTCATTAATGATATCTTTATTCAGTGAGTTAAACTTTAGGGTGAGCTAGAGTAATTGAGCTAGAGAATACTTACGATCTTAAGAAACAGCGCTGTACCTACTGCATATCATTTCGACAAGGCTTCTCGATACAGCATTAAAAAAGGTTAGATAAATTTTCAGTCGGTAATGTAAAGGTGAAGGATATACGTCATTCAAACATTCCTGATATTGGTTAGGTTTTTGATTTTGAAGAAATAGGAAAACTTTTATTTTCGTGTAATCACAGGCGGCCCAAAGAAAAGAAAAGCCCTTATGTACGTTGAAAACCTCGAAATAAACAACTCGCTTAAATGGGCTCTTTTCATCAAAGTAAGCGGTCAGATAACAAGCGACACACTGTGGAAGTAAGGTGAGGTTTTTTTTTTTGAGAATTTGACGTATTTTTTATTCCTTAGAGCAGTCGTAAATATGCCCATACAAACTCTTATAATTCCGCCATGACTGTTATTGCGCAAGATGATCATCTCACAGCTGGAGCTTGGGCCGCCTGTGGTGTAATCTGCTGATCGATATAAATTCCTCTGACAACCACACGACGAGCACTTAGCAGAAACAGGCACTCAGTTCGTCACCTCTATGTGTTGATGTTTTGGTTAAACAATGTTGCAAAATTCTCCATTGCGTTAAGGAGAATTTCTACGGAGCGCTGGTTCGACAATCAATAGGAATGTATCTTTCCGATTTCCTGCGTTTATTTACGATCCATACAATATTGGAACTTTCTACATTCAATCGTTCTCGACGTTCAGCTACAAGACAGTGACTCTATTTATATGCTTTTACAACGGAAATGCATGCCTACACTACGTAAAACCAAGACTGATATATCACTTATTCATGATTTACTCAAAAATCCCAAGCTATTTCCTTTGTGCGCGCACGCATCACCAAAGTAACAAGATGTTCCAACCCAAACACACGCGCACAATTTCCCTTGACAATTCCTTACCTAACTGTTTCAGACCATTATTGATTTTATATATCACTCCTGCCGTGCGCAATCTTAACATTCTTGCTACAAGTCTGTCATTACCGTGCTACGCTTAATTAATTATACACCAAAATTTTAAGTAACTCAACTGTCATCAAACCCTTAGCTTAATTTCTAAATCAGGAAAAAAAGTATCACGCAATACGCTTGCAAGATTATCGCGACAAACAATTAACATTTTTAAAATCAGTAAGTGAGCTCTTTGTTTGTATAGAGTGTCACACAACGGGATGTCATGGATCATGTCTTGGATATTATAACTTGCTTTTATAAAACCTGTAAACTTATGAAATTTCTGTTATATCCAGGAATAGAAAGTTGAAAAGGAGCCAGTGTAGACTAGTATACTTTTTAGTCGGAGTATAGGTTTACCCTCGGGTTTCTCCACAAAGCTCAGTCACGTGCAATGAGGAATACCGCAGACACGTAATAGGTCTCACTAGAATCTATAAAAGCGGAAATCTTCAAAAGCGGGAATCTTTAAAGCGGGGAATCTTTAAAAGCGGGAATCTTTAAAACGGGGAATCTCTAAAAGCGGGAATCTTCAAAATGGGGAATCTTTGAAAGCGGGAATCTTTAAAAACGTAATAATTTTTTGGCAGATGGCAGTGTCACTCAATCATCATTTCTTTTATCAGCCTGAAAGATAAGTCAGTTATCAGCCTTGTAAGTAATCATGATTGAATACTCTGATCTTGATCGTTTTCCGGTATTATCTTCAGGGTTCAAAATAACAGCCGGCTGCCGTTTTAAAAGTTTTCTGGAAACGTAAACAAGTAAAAAGTTTCGAAATTTGAAACGTGCTACAGGGAGTATTTTTGTTCAAGCGTGAAACATGCAATTTTGTGTCCATACCGTCAATTTACCGTGTTTATGTTTCTGCACGTACGTACTATTTTAATCAAGATTTATTTTCCACCAAACCCTGTTTAATGTCGTTTGTATAGCCTTCTCACGCGTTCAAATTAAAGTCGGTGCTTGACAGTACGGATTTTCTATAACTCTAAATGATGAAGCGCGACAGTTTGTTTAGACAAAGTTGAATATTTCACGCTTGAACAAACACCGAAAAATTGACTCGTTTTGACTACACTTTGTTAGAAAGGGACTGAGGTGCTCATCATAGCTTTTAGAGGTTAAAAAGGGCGGGTTTAGTACCTCTTGGGCTGTTCAGCCTCAAAAGGTCCACAGCAGCAGCCTCTGTGATACCTGTCAAGGTATTGCACCAAAAATATGTGACAGTGTGTTGTTGTAGAATTGGTGCCTCTCAGGGGTGAAAAAATTTTACGCCACGCCCACAAACCAGGACCATGGTACCTCTGTATTTCTTTTAGAACCACTGCGCATCGTGAGTGGTCAACACTTATAACAGCGCGTTTACCTGTAGCCCGACTTACGATCTTAGATTGTCTTTTTCCGTAATAACCTTGTGGCCATGTAAATGAACTAAAAAGATGAAATGAACTAGGCACTAGATCAAAACACTTAAACTTTTAATTGAATGAGTACACAATGAGGTTCTAAAAAAAAAATTGGTATACATATACTTGAGGCACGTACATTCTAAAACAAAATCTATGTTCAAGTTAAAGCAATGAAAAAAAAGATAGCAGCCCGTAAAAGCAAACCCTCGAGCTGGAGGTGACACTTCTGCGTAGAATAATGAACTTACAAACATGTAAGTCAAACTGCATTTACATGTTATTTTTCTAGAATCGCTCCGAACAAATTAATAAGGCATAGAAAACTTTCGATAGCGATTTTTCACGCAGATTAACTTTCCAAAGGTTTCGTTTTCCCGCTCTGGTGTTTACTTTCAGCATTGTAACAGTACTATTGTGATTCGATTTAAGGAAGCTCCATAGAGTTTTTGACCGCGCAAGATTCGGAAGTATACTCATGCTCAGATACCGATTGATCTTGGCTAAGTTCTATTCGATAACGAAATATTTTGGGATTAAAAAGAAAAGAAATCTTCCGAATAAGATTTATCGCGTTTCTTATGATTGAATTACCGAAAATTTGGCAGAACGTTTAACATATTTATGCCCTTTATGTTGCCAATTAATTAGAAAAATGTCATGAACAAGTTAGAATGGGAAAACGAAAAATGAAAAAAAGCGAAGAATCTGCCCGTTTAACCTCTCTTATTTCAATTTCACAATTATTAACGGGAAAAAGTGTCACTTACTGTGAAAATTGTGGAAAATGTCACCGAAGTAATTGGAGCCGAGCGCCTTCATTTATTTTGTTTTACCTCAAGAACGAAAACCTGTTTATGTTCATGTTGATGTTGACATCAACTACAGAAAATAACAGTCTGAATCTTGTTTATTACATTTTGGTCAATTTAAGTGATCTTGAAGGCAGAAAGCACATAATAATAATCTATGAAAAGAACGCCAGTGCATATGTCATAATCAGACCAACAACGCTATGGAGCCACTTTAAATTGATGACGGATTTCCATGTAGCGTGTAGGGAAGAAACAAAGTCAATAATACAACATATCAATCTGCATGACGATGGCGTGAGTCACGTTTACTCGCGAATTTGAAATCTATCCGAATTAAAATCTCACCATTCGAAACTAAATCCCAATGAAATGAAATGCAGTTTAATTGTTGCTTCCCTGAGTAAAACTACCATGGTTCCATGGTTGTACAAAGAAATTACCTGATACCATTCAGATGATTGAAACTCATCTTAAACTGTAAAACCATTAACTCACTAGTCATTTCCCTTCTTTCCACAAACACCTGCTTATATCTCCAAGGAAGAACTGTGAACTCTTTCCAGTATCTTGGCCAAAGACATACCAAGCTGTTGTGTAATGTTCAGCCATGCCACAGCCTTCTTTTTATTGATTCCGCAACGAGGAACAAAACGTAATCTTAGTTAAGCGGGCGGTCGAGGTAAAAATTAATTTGTAGGCCAAAAATGGTAACAAAATTGTGTTGTAACAATATTGTATTGTGTTAGTAATACGAATGGTCCTAGCCATTGGCACCCTTTGATGTAAAATTAAAAAAAGACAGATGTTCGAAAATGCTAATTAAACTTGTCTGCTTGCTTGTGATATAAGCAAAGTATATGTGCAATTACTGACGGTAGCCTTTATGTATAATTTGGAACATGGTTCTTCCTAATGACCAGTCCATCCACTGCAGATTTCAGTCATTTCTCGCTCACAATTGTCAGCTGTGGGACGTTTTTCTGGGTCTCTATCCCAGCATCTTTCCATAAGTTCTTTCCAGCGGCGTGGAGGCTTTTTCAATTCCATGATATCTTTCGGACGACGCCCATGATCCACCAAGCTAAAGAAATGTTGATTGTTTAACGCTTCAACTTCAGCAAATGCTCGTCGTCCAAACCACATCTCCCAAAGCATTATTCCAAAACTGTAGATGTCTGCTTTGAAATCATATAGTTTAGAATGGAACACCTCAGGTGCCATGTACGAAAAAGATCCCTTAACAGTACCGCTGACTTTACTTGCTTCCTTAGAAACGCCGACATCACCTATTCTCACGGAATCCTCTTCCGAGAGCTTAAATAAAAACAAAGACAAATAGAGAGTAATACACGGGCGTGCGTAGAAATAGAATTTCTCTTCGAGTGTTTAACTCGATAGCTCACGAGTGAGTGCAGCGAACGAGTGAGATGTCGAGTTGGACACGAGAAGAGAAATTGCATATATACAAGCAGCCATGTATTATTTTGTTTACCATATAAACACAATAGCCCTTTACTGACAAGAAAAGCCGACTTCATTAATGAATGAAAATAAACGAATCAACAATCCCCGAATAAAAAACCGTTCAGTGCGTTGGCGCTAACTCGTAAGACGGAAAAATCGTCGAATCATGATTACAAAAACAGAAATAGTCGTAATTTTCAATTACAAATTCTCATTTGTTGACTTCTTCCTTACCGAAAGAAGAAGTCTTTAAGGTAAACGGCCAAGATCGGCCAGTGGCAAAGCTTCCAGTTGTCAATTTTTATTCTCAGCCGCGAGAAATGCCAACATCAAAGCCACTGAATACGTAACTTTCGGTTTTTCTTTTCGTTTATTAGTTTTTTCCCCTTCTAGGAAAGTTTGAACCTCATTGTCTGTCAGCGATACAGATTTTTTAGAGTTAGCCGTCAAAATCCGAGGAAGTTCCTACAAACTACCTTGTATTGAGAGTCGTGAAGGCTTTGCTGTTCATTTATCAACCTGACCGGGTGGCGCCAAAGCCGAGTGATGTGTCAGCAGCTGATTGGCTATATTAAAACACGTGAAAAAATAGATATTTTTTCACGTGTGCTGTTACGGCTTTTCTTAGGGCCGGAAACTCTTGTATAACACCGCAGTTTATGTGATAAGTATATTTATTATTGGATTGGAAACCACTAAATGTTTTCCCGCATTTGTAATTGAGAGAAGTTTCGGTTCGTAATTTTGTGAAGACGAAAACTCAATGTACGGTAAAATGGCTTGTATCTCGCTTATCAATTGTTTGACAATCACATTTCATAATACTTCAGTCACTACCATTCTCTATTATTTGTTCGGGAAATGAACTTTACGGGTTAAGTGCAGTGTCACCCAAGAAGCGACATTTTCCGCTGTGATTCAGTTGGTTTTGAGATTTGTGCAGAAATTCTAGAAGTTTGGATGCCCATGATTGAAAAGTTTGGATGCCCATGATTGAAAAGTAAAACTATAATTTTAAATGACTAATCAATTCCACTGACTTGCAAGGACTGGCAAGATGCGATAAAAATATTAAGATCGCTGTAAGTACCTACCAAGATGTTTTCTAGCTTGAGGTCTCTGTGGATAATGCCTACTTCGTGCATAAAGTGAAGACCAGCGGTGATTTCTTTCGCCCAACGACAAACTCTAAGGTCCGCTGTTTTTCCGGATAGACCCGGAACAGATTCTCGGTGCTTGAAGATGTGATCTTTGAGGCTTTCTGTGCACCTTTCCATCACAAAGATCAACCTTAACCCGTCCTCTTTTTTCAAGAGTGCAGTCCCAAAAAACTTGACAATATGAGGGTGATCTAATTTTCTGTCAAAGGAAAATATCACGCATGAACTATGGTGCAGGGCGAAAGATGCTTTGTTGGCCGTACGAAACAACACACAGTAGAGTATGTACATTGAGAGAGAGTTAACTAGTCGACAGCAGTTTAGCTTGGTCTGCACTCTTATCAACAACAAAAAACTGGCCTATCAGATTGCGACATTACTGCCAATTACGGTAAAAAAATGGTATCGACGAAAAGCAGCAAGTCAAGCTCCCAAAAAGTTAATTTATGCTTAAAAAGTTAATTTATAATTTAAAAATTCTGACACGCCTAATGTAAAGAGTAGACCTTTAGAAGTAATCCACCAAACAAGGGTTCTTTTCAAAAGTAAGCATAACAGTTCACTATATGAATGAACGTCAACAGCACTTATCGCAATTCCTTTGATTCAAACTTTCTGTTTCTACAAATACATTGGAAAGTCTCCGAAATCATGGCGCGCTTGCTGCGTAAGATTTCAATCAATTGTTTCAATTATAGGATTAAAAAAGAGCCAAACGGTTGATGCTCAATTTTTCCTCAAGTCCTACTCCAGATACGCGGCATTATAATTTGGGGGAAAATTAGAATATTGAGATGGAAATGGGGGAATTTTTTCTCACCTCAAAAGGGTCATTTCTTCAACTACGAGACTTGCATTTTCGACGTCTAGAGGTTTGCGGCAAACCTTCACAGCTACTTTTTGCTCGAATCCATGTCTTATCATCTTCCCTTTGTACACAGAGGCAAACATACCACACCCAAGAAAGGCAGATGCATCATCCTTCCACTGCAACTCCTCGTTGCAGTGAGCACAGGCCTCTCTCAGCCCAAATGCAGCTAGGTGTCCTCTTATGGCAGAAGCAGAGTTCCTAATTGGCTCGTACAGTTCTATAATCTTTTGGTGTGATTGCTTGTTGTCACGGAGTTCTTCACATAACTTTTTGTTGGCCTGAATCATCTGTGGAACTTGATTTCCAATTTGTTCCAAACGTTTCAGATGCTTTTTAAGCATTTTATTTACCATAGACTTAGCTGCATCTCCATTTATAACACACTGAAGAAAGCTCTTTCTCATCCAAAGAGAAGAAGTAAAATTCTTCATCATAGGCATAATGGTGTCGAGTCCACCCAAGGATCCAGAGATACTCCTGAATATTCCAAGCCTCTCAGCAAAGAGATCAAAAATGAAGACCACGGAAGCGCTAAACTTACAATGTGGGTAAATTGGTGTGGCCATTGAGACTTCGCCTTCCGAGATGTCACGTTGAAGATTCAGGATTTGCATTTTTGCTAAATTGTGTTGCTCCAAAAATCGTTGAAGAGGCAAGCTAAAAGCATTTGCAAATACGTGATTTTTATCTTCCCACTGTTGCAAAATTACTTGCAGTTCTTCGTCCAGCTCACTTACGGATGGAGCAGATCCGTAAAATCGATAGATGAATTGTGTTCCCAAATCCTCTGAATTGAGAAATTCGCAGAGCTTTGTTTCGACCTCGTTGGCTTGGGCTGTCATATCTATGCGAATCCTATCAATAAGTTGGGTTTGTTGTCTCTCAAGCACTTCCAGACGATAAAGTATGGTGGTCATGTTCTTGTTGACTTTCTTATGATCTCTAGTGGCGTTCATCGTAACCATCTTTGTTTGACAAATTAGTTGGTAAAATACAAAATCAAGCCATCTGTAAGGAAATAAGGAAATGAAAAGAGAATTATAACTCTGATTGTATTTTTATAACTCGTAGTTTTAGAACGAACTAGGTACATACAAAGCAATAATCAGCAAATCACTAAATGATCATTTCCCATTGTAAATGACCTGGCTCGTTTTAATCCTTTAAGTTACTTAACATATACGATTTAAAACTCGGACCGCGAAAAGAGTTTGCCCATTAGTGTTGGAGTTTGGATGACCGTGATATAAAAAATTAATTCAAAGTTCTTCTTATGTTACTAATCTAAAGTTTCTGTCTCTTTTTTAATCATTTGACTTTGTTTAAGAGTTATAACCACAATAAAACTATAACACCTAATTCCATAATCAAAAGTAGGCATGAACTTACCTCCAGTGAATTCCCAACCTTTGCTCAATGCATTTTAGAACAAAAATACGGATTCCATTCATCAGGGTGATGAAGTCGGTTTTAATCTTTCCACGGCTCTGAGCACCGAGAGCATTTTTTACAGATATGTAGGTGATCTGGGATTCAGGAATAAGATCAGGCCACCACTCTTTTAACTTGGTCTTTATGTGTGCCTTAACATCGTCGGCTTCGTCCTCTGGAATCTGGTCCCATTTGTTGCATACAAACAAAGCACATTTGGAGGGAAACTCTTCTTGTCTTTCACGCGATATCTTGCCCAGTTCGCTCAGCAAAGATACAAGCTTTGTATTAATCAAAAAGTTGTCAATTAACACAAAATGGCTACAAAGTACTTAAAAAAATAGTCAACTTTAAAAGTTTAATCATCACTTTGATTCGTCCTTTGTAATACTATTTTTTCTTTTCTAAAATTTTAATTTCACTGCTATCCACATTGCACTAGCTACTTACCCTGTCTTTCTGAACCCCTCCAGCGTTTGCGCTGTTGATGACATAAATAAATCCAAAGGCTTGAGGAAGATACTCTGTCACTACTTCGTCCATGACTTCCGATTCTCCAACACCAGGACTATCAATGATAGTGACACCTTTCTAAAACACAGAAATTAACGCTGAATAATTATCTACAATAGACAATCATCTAAATTGTTCGAATTGTTCTCTTTGGCATAATCTAGGTCTAGAAAACTATCAACTGCTATTGGAGATTGAACCGATTTTTTTATTCACTCAAAATGGTTGATATTTACAGTAGGACTGGATATGGATCCATGTCATTTTCATTTTTTTTTAGTTTATTAGTTTTAATCCTGCAATGAATGTCAGCCCGTTCATGTATGCCAGTTCATCTCATCTAACGAGGTTGTCAATCAACAACCTCCAAGTTTGGTCTCGATGTTCATGATAGCTGATTGGAGAAACCAAAATCTTGATTACTGATGGGGGTTCAACTTTCCATATCAACCTATGGAATACTTTATACGGGAAAGAACTGTGAGACAACACTAGTGGCTAGCTCAGTTGACGTTCCTAGGCAAAGGAGGGTATTACATACTTTCAAGGATTTCCGTAATGTTTCGATTTACAGAAGACATTTAACGGTTAACTGAATACTTGCCTTCAACAATTGATGAGGCCAGAAGATTTCAACCTTTTTGTAAATTGTACCTTTCCCACGGTCTGCACCCTTCACGTGGACAAAAGGTGATATCTGCTGGAGATAGCTTTTCCCTGAAGATTCTGTTGGATTCTCAAGAAATATGGTCGATGTTAGGCCTGTTTTCGAATCTGTGTCTTTGAGGTGCGCCACAATTTTTCTTTCCTCGCCGTACTTCAATTCACATAGCGTGGAAGTTGTGCTCAGTGAGGAAGATGGAAGAAGTCTCTCTCCCAGAATGAGATTTATCAGGCTGCTTTTTCCAGCACTTGCCTCGCCTAAAACAACAAGACAAAAACAAAAACAAAAATAAACAAAAAATACTTTCATCCAGATGTACTTTCTAAAACTGTGTGTGTGACTGGAAGCATGAGTTACATTTTTGTTTATTCGAGAGAGTCTCGTGAAAGGGGTTTTTTAATATCCTTCAAGGTCAGTTGGCCGGCACCTCCACTCATGCCTATCGATAGTTAATATTAAAGAAAGTACTATAGAAATAGCAGTTGGTAGATCAGAGTTAGAGAATCAGAGTTAATAAGAGTCAGTTAGAGAGAGTGGTCAAAGAAAACTGAGAGAAGAATATTTGCTTTTAGTGGAACTTTTCTCTTTGACCACTCTCGGACTGATTCTAGCTGACTCTAGCAATGTCCTGTCAGAGTCTGTTATATTAAAGAAGAAAGAAACAGGACAAGCTTAATATCCTTGTGCCTTCCGCCAAGCGTGGTATGCTAGTTTCCTTCTGACCAAGATGAAACAATACTATAAACCTCTCTGAAATGGGCCAATCCTCTGTCAGTTGCGGAATTTCATAAGCCTGGAGGCCAGGAAAAAAATCTAATGTGGTTGTTTTGAGTAAATTCTCCATCATCACTTACCTGCAACAAGAATATAGTATTCCTTCTGTTCGAGTTGGCTGATATGTTGCTTCATTTCCTCTAAAATTTCGGTTATATTCACCTGCAGCAAAGGCAATGAGCGATTCTCATTCAGTTGACTCAAAAAATCTTGGGCTTTGCGAAATTCATCCAGCAGTAGGCTTCTTTTGCGTTCGTCTTCGATTTTTGCCTCTGACAGAGTAGAAAGAACCTAGAAGAACACATAAGAATTATTTGTAGGCATCTTTTGACAATGCCTGCCGTATTCCCCCTCCACTCCCACCGGACTGTTCCTGTTCATGTAATAAAGAGCTAGTCAAACTGAAAATACTTATTCTTGGAAATAGGTTAATAAGGCTGATGATCGTTTAAAATAACTTTAATGTTTACGCAAGTTTCATATCGCCAATCAGCTCCTGACATGTCACTCGCCTTTCACGTTACTCTGTCAGGTTGATAAATGAATGGCAAAGCGTTCACCGTTCTCAATCCAAGACCGTTTGGAGAGACTTTTGTCGGATTATGGCTTCTAAAAACACTTAAAAACTCGTATCGCTGACAGACACTGACGATCAAGATTTCCTAGAGGCGGAAGAAAACCAAAATACTAAAAGAAAAACCAAAGTTACGTGCTTGGACCTTGAGCCTTACTGCCGACGCACTTTACGTCGCGGGTTGCAAGTCCTAATTTGTCTCATTCATTTAAAATAATGTCGGCTTTTCTGGGTAGTAAGTAATAAGTGATTGTAGTGAGTAATAAGTGATTGTAGTAAGTAATAACTAATCGTAATCAAACCGATACGTCACTCGTTCGCTGCGCTAACTCGTGAGCTATCGAGTTGAGCACTCGAAGAGAAATCCAATATGTACGCGTGCCCAAGTCTTTCAGAATGTATTATTCTTTATTTATCACATAAAGCGAATCGGCCTGTTGATCCTTAGTCACAAATTAGTCAGACATGCATCACAAATGTAACACATGGAGCTGTCTGCACTTTATAGTCGACTCTCTCAAAAACATGCGGTTTCAGATGCCACCGAAAACTTCACTTTCCTACAGATGGCAGTCCTGCAGTTGGTTTTAGTTTGCTTTGTTAATTATATAACCAGCAGTTAGACGCAATTTGTGATATGGCACGTGAAAATGTGTCACGTATTTCCCTGGAGGGGAATATTGAATCTTAACCGCTCAAGTTTAGTCGTGCAGACTGATAAGATAAAATGTACGCTTTACTTCCGTTGGCCTGACCCGACTTGATGCAAAAGAGATTCGGAGTGACAATTGCCGCACAGCATGCAACTGAATACCTTTGTGTTATCCGTCACTTCACAAATTCGCTCTTGTCTAAACCCCGCCACGCGTTGAAGTGTATGAAATCTTCTTCGAGTACAGTTCGGGTATTAAACATCAATTTAAACATAGGATCGCTTGGTTAGCTGGTGGCAATAACTTTTCCGGGTCTCCAGAGGCATTTTCAAGTACATCTACGGCGTCAACTTTTCCGGGTCTCCAGAGGCATTTTCAAGTACATCTACGGCGTCAAGAGTGTTAATTTTGGCAAAGGCACCCAGCCCGCATGAAAATTTAAAAGGAATACTACTTGTCCTTTCTTGATATCGTCGAAGCACAATGATCGGCTCTGATTACCAAGGCAATAAAACAACATTACAGTTTACCACGTTAAATGTCACAGGCGCTCTATCTGATCCAGCTTTGAAGTACATTTACATAAGAAATTTATCAAAGGAAATGTTAGTCACGCTCACTGAATACATTTTACAATGGTATGTAGCTCCGTGTTACTAAGAAACATATTATTTTAGTAAGCCCCATTTTATTCAAAGGTTGAACATAAAATATAATATCTTTTTGCCAAAGGTACATTTCAACTGACAAAAAACGATCTGACAGGAAGATCAACAAGATTTTACTGAGGCGAGGTCTACGTTCGTTACAATTACGATAGCCTTGCACACACACATATCCGCACGATTTCTGCTTTCATTCACAAACTAACCACAACTAAATCAAATGTTTTGTGTTGCCTTCAAAGTTTACCCGTTTAATAATGTCAATGTACACGTGATATAGTGATTGCGATACAATCCATCATTGACAGAGGTGAAACGTATAATGAATCAGTAAAGCATTGTTTGATATATTCACTGCAAAAACTTCTCTGATGCATACGCTTTTCGGTAAGTTTGCCAAAATTATCCTAATAACACATTTCGAATTTTTTATTCTTTACTTTTTCGCCACGGTAGCAAAATTCAGTTCATCTGATTAGACGTGTGTTTGAGTTAGTTATTCAAATCTGGCTTCCTCAGTTTGGCTCGATTTCAATTACTTTGTTTAAATAATGAATAAGTGCACTACAGTTTCAAGGAACGGCCTTCAATTGTCTAAGAGACGCTTACCTGATCGGCCTTCCGTCTGGTATTGTTAATAGATGTCTTCGAAGCAGCTTCTACGCCTGTTTTCGTTTCATCCAACGTTTTTAATCCTTTGCACAAAATACCAGGCGCCTTTTTACCTCGAATCTCATCTTTAGTGCTGTTGTCGATTTTGTCGACAACATTTACTGCCAATGCATCCCCATTTACTCGCGTAAGGGTGTTGCAGATAAAATACCCGTTATACCAAAGGTAGAACAAAGGAATCAGGATAAAGCTGAGATAAAGCAAAACGAACCATAACCATTCCATCTTAATTCTTAAGACAAATTGTTGTTGTACGCATTCGAGCGAGAAGTGCAAAGTCTACTATGCAACATAATCAGACACAGGCTAATCCTTAGTCCCCTTCCGCTGAGCTCATTTGCTTCGTTTCCATGGTGATTTAGTGTGTACCATACTAAATTTCATAATTCGCTAGCTACTGGAAACGAAAAAGCTCACTGCAGTATCGTGTGATCAAAGATGACTGCCTTTCCTAACAACTAATCAGCTTTAAAATTTGTCATATTTGAATCAATTACAGTCTTTCCTTTGTTTGCATCTTGTTTTCAATTAAGTTGCCGCGCCATTTTAAATGATGTTTTAATAAAAAATTCGATGATCCCTCTCTTAACTTGAAACGTTGAGCTATGGCTCTTAAATACTGATTACAAACGCATTCGCTGGATTAAAAATTTACTTGCAATATGCAGGTAGTGAGGAGTACATTTACGCAGCTTCTAGGTTTTTCTACAGATACTTCACGCATAAATATCCTGTAGATATAGGCATTTATTCGTTAAATAATATATGAATGTACAGTTTTTCCCCATTTCTATTAATATCTTCACTTCTCGAGTCAATGACTTTAAATGGTAATTAATGGTCACCAATGGAATCCTTCCTCACTCCCTGACCAAGAAAATTTAGTGAACGATGTTCACGTCCAGAGCTTAATCTCAGGAATTCGACTATTGAGAGGCGGGAACCCATATCGTAGTTGCAGCTCCAGTTCAAGTACTGGTTTAGACAAAAGCGACGTTTCCGAGTAGTCACTCCGTTTTCAAGGCGACGTTAAAATGTAGGGAAAAGTGATGGGAAACTCGATTACTTCAATGTGTTGTATTTTTTCGACTAATGGTAGGACACCTGAAGCTTAAGTAGATTTTGAACTATTACCACTCACGTGTCTGCACCTTAAACCAAAGGTGCAAACGACATCAATTTTTCCGTCTTCTTTTTGCGTTCGACAAAGGAGATATAATATAGACTTAAGTGCGTAATTTCATGGGACTTACGGAGGATACCAAGAGGGTATGAACTGTTTAATCTCTGACGAATACTAGCAGCGTCAAAAACGAATGACATCATCACAAAGCCAAGTGCGGTCTGGCGAAAGGGAGAGAGTGTTTGAATTCGATACGAACTCGATAAGTTACACAGTGAAGTGATAAGTGGTAAATTTTGCCTTTTAATATGTTGACTTATAAATAATGGGGTTATCTCTTACAGAAGTATGTTCGACTCCCGTTGTTAAACTGCAGTTTGGGGCTTTGATCTTCGACAAAAAAAACTATAGCTGTGTCATCAAAACGGATGAATGTGAACTCCTACGAAATAATTTTACTCTCATGTCCATGTTTTTACTTAGCCCATTAAGTTGCACAGTTTGATTTGTGTTCAGAAAACTAGGTCATCGAGATCACCTTGCTGTGTAACTCGGAAATTGGCCCTGACTCGTCCTCAGAAAACTAAGACGCGGAGTCATGTAAGTGGCAGATTTTTTTGGAAGACAACTGCATCAAATTGCCTTCATTTCACCCTGGTCTTGTTAAACATGGTTCAAATTTATTGTTCCACTGATACTATTGCAACATTTCTATGTACTTTACTAGAAATAGCAGATTGTTTTAGAGTACAAATGTATTAATTTACCTCCATTTCCCTTTTCTCTTTTGTTCCGGTACTCCCGGCCTTCTCACTAAAAATATCTCATCGAACGTGCTTTACTATTCTTTGATTGCCATTGGCTTTTAGCCTGTTTATATTTTTCTTTGCCTAGGAACTACATCTGTGTTAAGGTTCGTTAGATTTAGCTCAATCGCTATGCCGAACACTCCTCTGTAAAACTTGTTGGTTGCACATTTTCATACAACAGCCCTTCCAAGTTGACATAGTCCTAAGAAGAATAGAAAGCGACCATTTAAAACAAATACGAGAAAAATAACTAGATGAGAAGCCACGATATTGTCAAATTATAATCATAATGGCTTTGAGAGAGCAGAAAATTGATTTTAATTTAAACGTACAGATCTGACGAGATATCTCACACATCAATGGACCAAGGCTCTTTAATCAAATATTTCAGTCCTGACCTGTTCTTCATCCCTGGTCATGCTGTGTATTCGTGACCGTAGACACTCAAAGTCTGGTCTCTTTAAGGGATCAGTCTTCCAGCATTCCATCATGATTTTGAACCTGTTTGAAAGAAAAATAATAATAATAATGATAATAATAATAATAATAAGAGTTTATTGTGAATATACACTTAGCTAACTTAACTTATGACGTCCTTTCGATCTTCCGTATATTTTTCATGTAAAGATTTTCCTTAATGGATTTGTTTCAACGTATAGTACACATATGCAATATAGAGGCCTACATCTTGTTACAGCGTGGCTTAATAAGACTAAAGCTCCCAAATTATTCACAAACCAGCACAAGGCGGGTATATAATCGATACAGCGAGGCAGGTATATACTTCCATTTACTTTAGATTCCTTTTGGTTTCTGGCCCCATCAGCCGAGCTTCCTTAAACGTGCTTTCATAGACAGGTACTTAAAAATGAGCACGAAACAGGGAAAGGTCGTCATATAACATGCTCAAACTAGACATAATATCAATGTTGTCTCTCACTACATAACAACATTAGATGGCAAAACTGCCGATAATCTCGAATCAAGGAGTAACATTTCCCTTTTAAACCAGGGTTTGTCACAACTTTTCTATCCGCTGTCCCAGCTTTCAAATGTCAAAGTGTATCGATCGATCGTGTCTCGCTCGGCTCGTTCTTGACTTAAATAATAATCTCTGTATAAGCACTCGGCTATAGTGTAATAGAGAACAAAGCAAATGAAATTTGAGCATCATTGCTTTTGTTGCCTAAAAATCGTGACTGTCTACTTTACGATAATAATTACTTACAGTTTTGCACTGACAAATTTTGGGCGCGGCATCCTGTACTCGTTCTTCAACATGGCTGGGATATCTCTCATATACACCCCTGGAAACGGGTCACCACCTATTAAGTGTTTACAGAAAATTTAAAAAGTAATCCTTATTAGAAAAAGAGTACCTAAAACATCATAGTGAATCTTAAGAAGCGTTATTCGACAGACGACATGCACAGGCAATAGTATGTGAAAACCCCATGACAGAAACAAGCGTTGTTTACTGAATACAGAATGTCAGGAAGGAGTTTCCTTTGAGAGCGATTTTGGGATCCCAGGACCTTATCGCTGTATTCCTTCGTTTTTTTTTTTTTTTCTGTCATTATCTCTTTTGTTATTTTTTGCCTGGTCGCTAACAACTTCACATAACGAGTGCGTCCTAAGGAAATACTTGAAAATCACAGAGCCGCTTGCATCTATGCATTTAGTAAGAGCATTTTTTCAGCTCAAATTTTAACTCACCGACAGTGAAGATCTCGTACATGACCACACCAAAGCTCCACCTAAATTTATATAATAATAAAAACGCGAGCCTATTCAAATGTTTTGCTTCATTTGAATGATAAAAACACTTTGTTTGCTGGAGTTAACACTAATCAGTTAAAAACTGATAAAAATATGGCCTTCCAGTTTAAACAAATTGAAAATAAACATTAATCAGATAAAAGTTCGGAAAAATTGAAGATGGCTTAGAACGCAATTTTGTGAAAGAACGGCTCTGGTTTAAATTACCGGCCCATAATGTTTAAGAGCCCCAACTGGCAGGAGGCCAATTTAACTGGAGGGGGGGCAACAAAGACGAAATCCAGTGAGAAGCAGGATGGAGAGCTTGAACCTGGGAACAGCGCCTTAGCTTTACCCTTTAACTCTCATGAGTGATCGAGACACAATTTCCCCTTACAATATCGCAATACTAGCAGACAAGTCACGAGAATAAAGAAAATTATCAATAAAGGGATTTTTATTTGATCCAATGCCAGATTCTCCAAAGTAACATCATAAGGATTGAATGAAAAAGAGTAAGGGGAATTTCTGATGAGATCTTGGGAGTAAGGGGGCTAACGATGCTTAGCCAGTCAGTTAAATGACAATATCAAGTCCTTTCAGTTGTCCATTCTTGTTTTGGAAAAGTATATTTCCGGAGCTGAACATCAGAAGCTGATAAAAGCGGTTTGAAAGAGAACTAAGAGAAAATTGCACTGAATATAATTTCGTTGATCTCAATGAATCGTGCCAAAACTAGTCAACCAAAATTATTTGATAACAAATTGTAAAACAGAAACAAAAAAAGGGGTTGATTCTCTTATCGTTTTACTTCCTAACTGAGATTCCCACAGTCCAGACCATCGTCCCGTGTTCAAACGCAAAATATGAAAGAATTGGTCCATGCTTAACGTGCGTATATCGAGTTCTGGGTGCACGCTGGAAGTTTGGAGCGCACGAGAGAAGCGTAATTCTAACTTCCCGCGCGCAACCATAACTCGATATACGCAAAGCTGAAGCATGAACCAATTCTTTCATAACATGGTATGCAGACACAAATCGCACTCGAAATAAAAGAGACCTTATTACAACTGTATTGGGTCCACTTGGTAACTGTCAGCTGTTCTACCCAAAAACTATGAATACATTACCCGGCAAAAACGACCAAGAAATATTTACTCAAATAATTGTAAATTTTCTGCTCAGAAGGCGAAAAACGAACGAAATTCTTACAAGCGCGATATCGATTCAGCATTCTTGAATCGTTGTTTACCAGAATTCACGGCTATTAATATAAATATATCAATCGTTAAAAAAATCGAAACGAAAAAATTTCAAAACTTCTTGCATTTACGAGACCCGAGTGGAAGATTTACCTGCTTTAATGGTTGTTTACCTGAATTTACGATCAGAAAATTGCGTAGCTTTGTGAGGAAAATTCTGAACTCTTTCACAACAAAATCTTCTCTTAAACAACACTTTTGGGACACATCAAAACTTCAAAATAATATTTACCGTTCTAATGCAGAGTCCCTAACGTCGCAAAGGTTCAGTTTAAGTCACAAAACCCAGTTTTATTTTCGGTCATAATTCCCATCGCGTTTAAGAATTAAGTTTCGTCAACTCAGAAACTAATTTCGTCGCTTGAAACAGCGACATGTTAATCTTTTTTCGAAACGAGTTCTATTTAGCATATTTTCTTTCCATTTTGAGCTTCCTAAGGTCTATCTCAATCGGGATAGAACAGAAAAAAAGTCTTGAAAATTTGGAACTTCGCTGCTAAACTGAACGGGAAGTTTCAGCCGAAGTAAAACCGAACATGTCATCTTATGGATGCATAGCCATTGCGAAATTAAGAATTTTTACCAAGGTGGCTTTTTAGCAATTTGATAGGACTTGCACGCACGCTGCTATGATTTTGATTATTTCAGGGAATTTCACAATATGTTCTCGTGATATTTGGGCGAATGATTATGTACAAAACAAACTCACACGTCACTCCGTGTCGTATATGCACCACTTCCAAATAGAGCCTCAGGAGCCGTCCATTTAATTGGAAGACGGCCCTAAAACCAAAGATCACAATAACATAATCATGAGTGAGTTTAAACACTTTCTCTCCATATTGTATTTCGAAACTGAAAGTTATCGTTTATGTTATATTAAATTGCCCTATCGCAAACGTGCACACTTTGCAGTTGCGTGGTTTTCGAAAAAATGATGAGCAGGTTAATTTCACGTAGGCTATTTAGTAACTTCTAACAACTGTGCTTTTTTTTAACAAGTACACTCTTTTAAATCAATCGGCTCAGATACAAGTTATTTCCAAATATGTTGTGAAGAATTACCTCGTGGGTTCGAACATATATATCTTCTGCCCAAACATCTCTGGCCATTCCAAAATCTGTGATTTTGCAAACGTCTTCGTCACCAACCAAAACATTTCTCGCGGCTAAGTCGCGATGAATGATCTAGTGACGAAATATAGCTATAAATTGACTTTCGAACTACTTGGGTTAACATAGATATTCGTATCTATACTTCTGTCCTGATACTTAAAAAAATCAACATTAGAATAGTAATAATTATAACGTATCTGAAGGGCCTTAATGTCCCAGAGTTAGCAAGATTGGTAAGGGTAATGAAATCTTGGAACACACAGACTTCTCCAACATATCCTGTGAGCAAAGTAGCAGCGAGTTAGTCGCAGATTAAATTTTTGAATTGTTGTAACAATGCTCTCCAGCTTTCGTATAGACACACAACAGGTGACTTTGTAACCTTTTTCTTCGACAAGTAGTCCATTCCATCACTGATCTGCCAAGCAAACCGAAGCAGTTGCTTGGAAGTGAGGCTGGTGCGGGGCTCTACCGAGGGATCACTGTAGTAGTTATCTCGAACTCCTCGGCTTTTCCTCAGGTACCCAAGCAAGTCACCATACTGTGCATACTCGACAACTACGAGTGGCCGGGCTGAAATACGAGAAATTTCATCTTTAACTATAAGTGGCCTTCAATTAACAATATATTCTGGTTATCAGCTATTTCTCGATTTATTCACTAGACACTTGAGTTAGCTGATCATGTTCATGACTGACTGGATTTCCTTTAGAAGTCTTTAACAAGTGTCGCAAAGTAAACTAATTATGAAGATGATGTTGATTATATAGTCCATTTGTCCAAATAAATTTTCTCCTATGCGTTTACAACACTCTTCAGAGGACTTTGGTTAGACTCAGGAGCTTCTTTATCAGCTGTGCGAGCTGTAAGCAACTTTGCAGATCCCCTTATCTAAGAATATTTGGAAACAAGGCCTTTCCACTATGTAATTTACACACAGTAGTTCAAGGCGTGCTGAGATCATTGCATAATCTCAGCACACCTAGTTACAAACTGTAACTGACGCATATACATGCAAGGACGACGTAACGATGAAGCAAGACTCGTGCACCCCGGCAACACTTCCACAGATGACATTGACAGCAAAGATGCCACTACCTCAAGCTCACCTTCAGTAGTAACACAACCGTAAAGGCGGATGACGTGAGGATGAGGATCTAGGTGTTTAAGGAGTGACATCTCTGACAACAGGTCTGCCTTCTCTTTTTCTGAAGCATCATCTTTGTAAATACCAACAAACCAAAATTCCATTTAAATCAGAATTTAATCAACATTAAAATGACCAATTCTATAAAATCTAACTTCTCTCCAGCGCCACACTGATCATTTCATCAAATGTTTACGACATTGCTCGGATCAAAGCTTGATGGTTTTAAGTGTACATGCATTTCTTGTATTAGAGTCTTTTTTTATTAGTTCCCAAGTGTACAAAAGGTCTTTTTTAGTGGAAAATAAGGTGAAATGTAACCTTGAACGCTCTTCACTGCTACCACAGTCCATCCTGGTTTTCCCGGCAAATCAAACGCTAAGCCTCGTGACACCACGCCGAATGCGCCACGCCCAATAACCTTCTCCACATTCAGCCTTGCTCGCGGTATTTCCCATTCAGGGTCACCCGATGAGGATACGTTGCAAGCTCCATTTGGAAAAAACTCGTTGCATGTGGCTTGCGATCTCAAGGACACCCTGGTAATAGATAACGTCAGAGCTTAGGCTATACTCAGCCATATTGGTGGGGGAAGGGGGAGAGTGAGGAGTGGCAGAGATGACGGGAAAAATAACTGGAGTTAGACACAAACGGCACTAGAAAAACATTCGACTAAAGAGAATTAGGTCGGTTTGCTTTTTAGTCTATGTTGTTAGTCATTATTTTTAAAAGTATTCATTCTGCGAAAACCTCTTGCCTCCTGTTTGATAGGGAGTGATAATTCATTCAGGAATTTATAAATACATACATTTGGAGCTCATCGGCTTCTTCACCTGAAATGGCAAAATTAATTCACGTTACTCACAGCATCATTAATTAACAGCGTATAAACCTATAAGACAATGTATGTCAAAATCATTTATAAGGTTAGTTTTTAACCAGATATTTACTCACGTGTTCGCTGATTTGTCTGTCCTCTGGATCTCTTAGCCATATATCGTTTGATGAAGAGAGCAAAGATCGCGATCACCACTAAGCCCGCTGTTATAGACAGGTACTTGGTGAGTGACTCTCTGCCATCTGTTTTCGAGAGAATAGTTCTTCTAAATCACTCATAATCTAATTTAATCGGCAATTAAGGACATTGAAAATACAGGTTCTAACAAAACCCAAGGAAACTTAGAAAACTGAAATATTTCTTTACTCCCTAAAATTTGGAATTTTCTCTCAGTTAGCACAGTCTGCCCTATGAAATGGCCCCAAAGTTGATCCAATGCGTCTTCCCGCCAGAAAAAAACTGGAATTTTTCATCACAAGGCAGAATTTAAGCTAAGTAACTGTTTTCAAAAGAATTCCGAATGCAAGAGAGTAATATTCATGAACTTTTCTCCTGAGGAACTAACCTGCATTGACATTTTTGGAGGCACTTGTTTCAGGTTCTTCGTGTAACTCTGGGTGTTTTCTGATACCTGTGGGATATTTCACGATTTATCATAGTTTTGACCAGTAAAAGACATGATTATCAACTAGGCTCAGTCATAATAATTACAGTCCACTTTCTAAGCGTTAATTCCGTGCGCATGCATTCTATGTTCCTCGTTATTTGTGGATTCGTGTAACTAACCGAGTTTCTATCCGCATAATGATCTTTGAGGTCTCCTGGGTTGCAAGGCTTTGGTAACTGCTCTAACTCAAAATAGATATCGTGACCAGGCTGTTATTACACTTACCCTTTTCGTGCAACGTGAACGTCACCGAGTCAATCGCTATCTTATTGGTTGCTAAACATATGTAACTTGTAAAGTCCCTATCATTTATGGGAGTGACTATCAAGGAACTTGAGTTTGAGGTATGTGAAAAGCCTTGCGTAATCTCTCCATCGAGCGTGCGCCAAGTGAAAGTCGGGGAAGGATTTGCATCGGCTGTACATTTAAGCCTGGTTGAATTTCCTCTTGTTAACTCCAAAGCCACTTTTTTATTAGGGTTGATTATTTTCGGTGCATCTGAAAGAAGGGAAACTGTTTGGACAAAAATTTACACAAGGGTAAACACTCCTCGGGCTTAATCGGTTCTTCTATGGCCTAGTGTGAAATTTTTGCATCAAATAGTTCCTGGTATATTTCAAAAGTGCATTAATTTTATGGGAAAATCTATGGATGGATAGCGGGATTCTCTTGTTAGAAAATAGAGGCTTCACTTTAAACTAGCAACCGATGAGTTGGGCACACTTCAAAATACTCACATAGAACATCAACAGCAGTAAAAGACGGGCTGTGATCTCCGAATTGGGACATTGAAACACACATATAGCTTCCAGCTTGTGATTTATTTATACTTTGAATGAAGAGGAATCTGTTTCGTCCTTTCTCGATGAGTCGGTTGTCTTTCAGCCACATGACAGATGTACTTTCCGTCCTCATTCTGGCACGGCAAGTGATGTTCAGTGGTTCTCCTTCCTTAATCTCGAGGGTTATATTTTCAGGTTCTGCATGACAAAGAATGTTTATGACCTCAAGCGTCTGCATCAGACACGGTTGCACCATTTCTATCATTAGGAACATCTATAACCCCTTCTAAACTTATGTCAGGCTAACTCCTCACAAAAAGGCTCGCTAACTCAATCTGCGCGTCAATCAACTGACTCCATCACTGACATTTACAGTCGTGATTTGAGCATATGGAGTTGTACATTTTCAGGATAGCCTGTCTAATAACAATTAAATTTCTCGACAAAAAAATTATAAGCATTGAACATCGATCGGTTAACGGTTAACGGTTATCTATGTATTCTAAGGAAGGGGAGAAAAGAGAGGGATTACCTGGTGGTCTCGTTGGTGATGGAGGTGGATCCTGTGAGGACAGAAATGTTGTTCTTAAGTCTAATTACAAGACTTCACAAAGTGGCTATCCGCCTGTGAAAACTCTAAAAAACATAGCATTGAAGCAAACCTGGGAAAACTCGTATACTTCACAACCATTCACCACTGCTAGTGGTGGAAATTAACCTTGCCACTTTGCAGCTCGGTAAATATCCATCGCAAGCCACCGACACTGAGGTGAGTATTTGCTTTAGTATGTACTAAAACATTGAGACAGTATGGCACAGAAAAAGTTCTAAATCGGTTATTCCTACAACGATTCCTGCTGCAATTCCTGCGCGCGTTGCTTGGAGGTAAAAGTTATCAATAATCACGATAGAGGAGATGAAAAGTGGTGGATATTTACCGAGCCACGAAGCAGTGAGGTAAATATTCACTTCTTTTACCGACTCTGAGGTAAATTTATTATTCACTTCCGAAACAGCCAATCAGCTCGATTCACTCGATTAGCAATTTTTCCACGAGCGCGCGCTGGATATGAGACGGTAAATAGCCAACAAGGCGCACTGCGTCGAGTTGTCTGTAGCCAATCTCGTATCCAAAAAGCGCGAATGGGAAAATTGTTTTATTAAATTTCATGAAATCCTGAACGTTTGGATGTTTGGAGCATTTATTCTGCTCTACAACAGTTGACACAGCGTTTCCATATATGGTGACTCGGAATATGAGCTGACAACCGGAGTCGAGTGAACCAATCAGAACACTAGAAAAGCAATCTTCGGAGTTGAAATTTTGATTAAAAAGGGCATTCGGAGTATGAGTAGCCAAAAAGGACGTGCCTTCAAAGCTATCCACTCTATTAGTAAATACTAACCTCGATTATTTCTCGATCACAAAAGAAGTTTCCCTATTTATAATCATATATGTAAATATATTTGACTGAATTTGCATGATATTTCTCTTTCTGAAGAAGCTAATGACTACATTGAGCTGAGCGTAATGAATGATGGAAACTGCCTAAGCTTACCTGAAAGGAGAAGAGATTTTTGATGAAACAGACATCATTGATAATGTAAAAGAAGTGATTATAGCTCGCGCGTTTTACCTGACAAAGTTCTTCTCTTCCAGTTTATCTAATGCGCAAATGACCATTTCTCGAACTGTGGAGTACTCTTTTAGAAAGTTACAGATTTTTTTCGAAAAGAAATTATTTCTTACCTGAACGATTAGTGTAAACCCACTTTCTTTTAAATTACGGCAACGATCAATGCAGAACCTGATCCCATAATCGGAAGAATCGTTTAATTGAACGTTCAGAAGTTGGAAAGCCACAAAGCCACGGTCCAAATCTCCCAGCCACTGTAAACGCCTTGTGATTAAGGCCTCTGTATATTTTTTCACTGATTCGCTTCCATTTGATTCTCGAATAACTGTTACCCAGTGGTAACCTGAAATACTTTCGCCTTCTTTTCTCCAGTGAGCAAAGATGACTGTCGGTTGCTTTGATTTCTCCTCCAAAGTGAGGTTAAAATTCCAAGTAAATGTTTGGTTGGATCCAGTGAAGGAAATTGTCGTTTCATTTGGTTCAGTGATTATTTCTAAGCCACTTATTTCATTCCAACCTAAAACACCAATTAATCAAGTTTTTCATGCACTTGGAAGAACCCTTCGCCGAACGAAACAACAAAAACAACAAAAACAAAAGCTGAGGGAAAAAGCAGGGATAAAGAGGGAAATATGAACTCGATGGTAAAAGTTCTGTCAACTTAAAAGCATTAACTCAGAATGATGACACCTGAATGCTTTGTGGTTCTACCTTTAAATATGCTCCATCCTGATTGATAATCGCAAGAGAGCAGAATATTGGGCCAATATCTGCTCTCTTACGACGGGTGAAAACCAAAATTAGTTTGGCGTGTTAAATGAAGGCAACTATCCAAATTTACTAGAATTGCTATCAAAAGGGATCGAAAACTAAAATGATTGGTTATGCGGGTGGGTATATTGAACGAACATTGTTCATGAAACCATTTCTCTTTGTCTTTTCTTGCTTATTTTTTAAAAGGTTACAATGTTCTTGCAATCCCGAGGGTATTTTCTAACAGATTAGAACATTAACTTAACCTTGTTATTTTCAGTTTTAACGGGAACAGTTCCACTAGAATTAGACCCTGAAAACAGAGTGTCCTACGACCGAGAGAAAGGATCGAAAGGAGAGTCCTGTCACTCGGCAGTTCAATTTAAAAGCATAAACATTGTGAATGTTCTCATTACCCTTCAAGTCACCGACCGCAAGCCATCGAAAACGAAACTATTGTATAGGAATAATGCTAAAAATAACGATCAAACTTTCTTGAAAAAAACGAGGACAAATGCGTTTATGAACTTCGGAATACCAAATGTGTGGTCGAAATTTGATTTGTCCCTGTGCGGCTGTCGATTATAAGTTCTTGCCTGTTCATCTCTCCAATGTTCATCTGGCTTGTGTTTTCAAAAAATAATTTTATTTTGATAGAGTAAGTGCTGGCGAGTTCTAAAATCTCTAGTCAAAGAATGGCATGTCATTCAATTTTTTCATAAACGATCTATAGATACTGACAGGAGATCGAAAATGCTTAGTATGAAAAGGACAACAACTCTCATCAACAAAGGGTGCAGAGGACAAATCGCAAAGGAGCTGCGTGTTACGGGCCCCACGGGATGATTGACTGAAGTAAGCAAGTTGGAAAGGCGGTTTTGGCGGTCAAAGAGGCAACGACGGATAACGATATTGCCATAACCCAAAGACGGAAGCTCAAATCTTTCGTCATAACCGAAAACGGAATTTCAAGGATCGACGTAAAGCCAGGTTTCATCAATTTCCGAATAAAAATATTTGGGGAGTTGCACTTTGCTTGTATCAAACCTTTTCTGTTTCCATAAAATCTGATTACCAGTTTGTTTGTTTGTTTGTTTGTTTGTTTGTTTTTGTCTTTTTTTTTAAATTGATCTGCAAATTAGGAAACGTGGCCATTGATTTAACATATAGATGCTGAGCGGCAGACCAACGGTGGTTTTGAATTATTTTTTTTATCTCCCACCCAGTTCAAACTCTTCTTTTTCATCAATTTCTTGCGATCCTCTTTTTTCTTTGCCCGAAAATTCACGAAGCAATGTCATCGAGTCACTCAAGACCGAGCTGAACTCTAATACACATAGTTAACATTCAATTAAGACGATATTTCGTTCTCAACGAGAAAAAATGCAGTTTTAGGGAAATGTTTTGATTTTTTTCACTAGGGAAATTATCCTATATTTTTCTAGCCAATCGCTCGTTGGAAGCCACTAGTTTTATTCCAACCAGTAGAGCAAAATGATGTTCGACATTCGGAACACAACTTAAAAGGAGAGAATTGAGAAATTTGCCTCTATTAGAGTCCAAAGCAGCGAGGAAGCCGTAGGCAACATCAGCGAGCAAAAATAGACTGAACAAACAAACAAACAAAAAAAGAAGAAAAAGAACGTTCATGGACACTGGAGTCACTGGAATATTAGGGACCTTAAGCAGTGAGGACGGCAACGCCAAGGAAGACTTCGATTAAAAAATGAATTTTTGCCTTCAATCAGAATTTCAAAAATGGCTGCATTTGTTCACGGTCTCATATGGCGCCACACCTCAACTTCAGCATAACGTATAAAAGAAACGTTGAGCTCCAGCCGGAAATTAAAATAATTTCCGTCGTGGTCTCGGTTCGCAGGCGACGCAAATTGTGGTGATTTCACGTTGTTGTTTTACAGAGGACGGCTAAGAAATGTACAAAGTTTTAAAACTCACGTGCTGCGCTATGGTTCATACAATTAGATCTTTTGTTTTTCCATGTCCTCGTTGCCGTCGCCGTCGTGGTTTGCTTAAGGTCCCTAATTTGTATGAGGTTGCGGCTATCGGACACAATTAACTGTTTTTGCCGATTCATGTCCTAAGTTGATGTTTATTTACATAAATTCAATGCGATACCATAGTGGCGTGTGCTATAAAGCATGAAAAACATTATAAACACCATGATAGAGTTTATACTGAATAGCTCTTTAAACTTGATGTCAAAAAATAGTAATTTTAACTTTTGTTGTATACTCACAGCTCATCCAAAGAAAAGTGGTTAGAATAGGGATTACCACTGCCATCTTTAGCTGATAGAGGCTTGGCCCGAATATCCTTCTCAGTTTGTTAGAACAAAGGCTCCAGACAGATGAGTACGCAAGGCAAGGATTGTATGATGGCCTAATCGGGAACTCTCCCTCCCTGAGGTGGTCACGTAACTCTATTGTTCTAGCCGAGAGCGGATGTTTAAAACTGTGCAATAATTGAAAGCAAAATTTCAAAGTTTGAAAAAATGCCAATTTGGATCAATTTTTAAATAAAACATATGCTAATCATGAGTCACAATTGCGTTATAGGTTTCGAACGTGGCCGATGCAGAAAATCATTGATTGTCTTAAAAACTTCAGTCACTCCCTTCTTTGCTGCAAAAGCAGCGACTGCAACAATGTAGCTCACGGAATTCTATCTTGCTACAAGTTACAAGATGTATTCAGTTAGTTCACAGACAAAATATGGAAACTTCAGCTGAAATATTTTTCATACCAGCGTGATCTGAGCAGACCCTTCTCTTCGACCTTAATTTGCATATTAAAAATTCGCTACTTTGTACGAAAGAATTCTCAAAATTCAGGCGTTAATGGGGCTGAAAAAGCATATCAGTGCATAGTTTATACACCAATGAGGTCACGGATTGTCTCAAACCCGCGGTTATAGCTTCCATCCACCTACTTCTTAAAACAACGCAAATCCATGTGTTTGTTCAATTGCGCTCGTGTCAAAGGTCAGTTGCATGATTCTGAAAATTGACCAAGATCTCCTTTTGACCGTTCAAACTTCGTTCGTTTATCTTTTACGTTGAGAATTTTAGGTTTTCATAGAAACTGAATGGAGAATAGACGCCGAGTTGTCCTAGAACGTTGCGTAAACGTGATCAGTCGTAACGCTCGCGCGCTTGTGTGACTTACAAAGTAGACAACGGTGATCAGAAGGCGCCTTCTCGATAATTTACGTTGAAATACAGGTCACGAATTACGCACAGTGTGGAGAAGGTCAAAATTAAAGAATAAAATTTGGCTCTCTGGTCATAACAGACATATCGCGTTGCTTAAAAGGACACAAAAACAAGTTGAATAGGTTACAGTGTTTATAGTTACAAAACAACACGCATACACTCTGAAACAATTCTTGCAGTTTCTCTCGAGATTTAGTACACGGAACCCGATGAACTAGCTCTCCTTTTTGAAAATTTGTCTCCATCATTAATGATGTTATGCTCTTATAGACTACAACGGTTTTGAGCGACAAACTCGACATTTCCCTGCGATCAAATTCAACTGGACAAACCCGGCTTGATATACTGCGTGACGTGACTGTGCAAATTTTTCCCCTTGCCATATGGCCAGTTTCGCGGGTTCTACAAATTGAAACCAAAATTAGTTAATATAACGAATTAGAATCAAAAGTTATTAAAATAGAATGAAAATTTTTACATTTTAATGAGAATTTACTTGATTCATGGAAAGCAAAGATTGGAGTGGCTTTGGGTATTTCAGCCCCGATTTCTTTCCTGGAATGCCGGTATCACAGCGGATTTGAACCCCCCGCGGATTTTCGACCCCCCAGTCCAAATCCGTTGGCGGATATGGACCCCCCTTCGCAGATTTGGACCCCCTACCAAACTTTCCTTTTAAGCATCGTTTGTATCATATTTGATAACTAATTCTAGTTGCAAGCTTTTTGTCGAATCACAACATTTTGTCACAACACAACATTCCTCAAAAAAGCTAGAGAAAAACAGCCATTTCGTTCCAATTCTGCCGCATTTATTATAGCGAGTCGTACAGTATACGCAAGAATTAGATGCGAACAAACTACTGAAGTAGTTACAGTAGATCTTTGCTTCTTCTTATGAGAATCAATATTGATACGAAACGTCATAACAATAGTGGAGACTATTGCGTCCCGTCACAAAAATAACTCAGTCTGATTTTCTAATTAAATAACCTTAAACAGTCAGTCTGAACAAGAACGAAGTAATTACTCCTACTACAAGTCGTTCGTAAAGCCTATGATAAGTAAAAATGTTTTATTCTGAACTATAAGAACACTCAGCTTATTTTCAGATGCAAATCAACTTTAATGTCTACGTTTTAACAAAAGTGGAGACTATTACATCGAACTCAATCTTATTCTCTAATTTTAACGATTAGTAACCGTTGAGGGATCCGAAATAACACCTTAACAG